CCACAGGTATCGCACCTTTAATCTTCTTACTTCGGAGATTTATTATTTAAAGAAAAAATAATTGAAAGAAAAATTCCTTGATATTTTTAGACGAGAAAAAGTCTTTTCCACTCCTTGGTTTTGTTTAAAATATAAAAGGTTAAATTGACACCATTCTATTTCATCTTATTGGCACCTCCTAGAGTCGTTATTAACTGGGTTATGTTCTTCTTTCAGCTTTTACTCCCAAGCATAAACGAAAAGAAAAAACAACATAAAGGTCAACAGAATCCAATCTTCATGGCTGAACCAATGAGAGCATCAAATTCCTTTGTTGGCACTGAAGAGTACATAGCTCCGGTCTGACACTTTGTCATGATCTTTTTAATTATTTTTCTTAATAGTTCCTTGATTGAAGAAATGCACGCTTCATGCCCTTATCTTGAAATAACCAACACCTTTTTTTTAGAGTGGTGATTTCCCCACTCCTTTTTCTCCTATTTTATCCACTTACACTCATTTTTTAGAAAAAGGAGTGTAAGTGGATAAAATAGGAGTGGGGAAATCATTGCCCTTTTTTTAAATAGGAAAAGTGCATGACATAAGCACCAGTAACGCAAATTATTAAACTTCAATATTTCTCTGTTGCATATGCTATGATGAATTCCCTTGTTATGTTCCATTCTATAACATGCCACAGGAAATCATTCAATTGCTAGTTATACATGAGAAATCTCCATGTTTAGTTGCTTAAGCTTCCTCTGGTTTGATTGCTAGTCATACAGAAAGTGAAAACATCTTGATGAAGTTCATAACATACTAAGGCTTGAAAGTTTTTAATCCAGTTACCATTAGGAGTTTGGTTGCTAAGGTCTAACTTTCTAGTTGTGCTAGTTAAAGTGTAGAAATTTAATGTGGAATCAAGTCGTATAGAATCCTGATCAGCCGGAAGGAAATAGGAAATTTATCCTTGCTTCCGATACCCTCCCATCTCAATGGAATTTTGTTTCATTATACCTTCCAGATGATTTAATGTTCTACAGTTGTAAGTTTATAAAGGTATAGATATCTTATGTAGGATAAAAGTAAAATAAAATTCCCATCATCAGGAAGTAAGAAGATATACTTGTCCTTGTTTCTCAAATGAGATGGTTTGTCACCAACATCTCACCAAAACTGTTTCATTACCTTCCTGATGAGATGTTTCTCTCTTCACAATTAAATTGCGAATAGATTAAAACTTTCAAGTTATGTCAAACTTCAGAATCTTTATATTGACTGCTCTATGTATTTTCCACTTGCAGGAAATCATAACTGGAGCAGGCCATACTAGTGCAGTGGACTGGTGGGCTCTTGGTAAGTAATTTATTCTATTTTGTGTTCAACGATTCTTTCTACTTATAATATGTAACCTGTGCATAAGAATGATGAGGAAATATCTTCATCTCCTGATCACGGGAATACCGTAACTCTTCAAATTTGTTACTGAATTTGCATGAGTTGTGCATCGAATGACTGGACTCTAAACAAGAAAGCATATAGTAGCATTTACTTCAGCACAAATACATGCAAGACTAAATTTAAACTAATCACCTTCCATCTGGCATCTTAATTTGCTGATCTACTGCATCCTTTTTTAGGTATTCTTATCTATGAAATGCTCTATGGCTTTACACCATTCAGGGGAAAAACAAGGCAAAAGACATTTGCCAATATTCTTCACAAGGATCTTAAGTTTCCAGGAAGTATATCGGTGAGATTTACTGTTTGCATGTATGCATATACATACCTATATAAATGTGTATTTCTTTGCATATATATATATGTCTGTATGTGCATATGCGTCTCAAAACGTATTTATGATTGTATGTTGTAGTTGGAGGAGTCATTAGGATCCATAGAAAATAGTAGTTCATAGAACATAGACTTCATTTTTCCTTACCAAACTAGAGTTCTGAGTTAAACATATATAGAAAATACAGAGTGAAAACTTACCTCTCTATATGCTAAAGGCATTGTGTCTTGATGCAGACAAGTCTTCAAGCAAAGCAGTTAATGTATCGGTTGTTGCACCGCGATCCCAAAAATAGACTGGGCTCACAGGAAGGAGCAAATGAAATTAAGCGCCACCCCTTCTTCAAGGGTGTCAACTGGGCTCTCGTCCGCTCCATGGTAACACCAAAAACCTTGCAAATTGCAATGCATGAAGTATAAAATGTATCATATATGTGAATTGTAATTCAAGCTTATAAATTAAGAAAATTCAATAAGGTTATACTAATGTGCAGAAACCTCCTCAACTCGATGCACCTCTCTTTGCAAAAACTGAAGCCGAAAAGGAAGCGAATGCTGTGGATCCTGAGATGCAAGATTTACAGACAAACATTTTCTAAAAGGTTTATGCTGTTGCCAGCATGATTTACACCTTGTTTGCTTTCTCAGTTAGAAATATCATCTGCTGCACATTTGAGTACTTGAACTGCATCTCACTTGCGAAACCACGAAGACAGGCTCTGGAAAACCCCCATCATCTTGCTGAAGAATTCAGGTCAAACTAATTGATCTGCTTGTGCGTTAAGGTTGACAATATTTCATAGAGGGCTAATCTTGGATGCTGTTGCACTTTGTTGATGGAACTTGATCAGGGTTTTAACAATTGTTTTGTGTGATGTCTGCGAAGTGTAATGTTTCTGTAATCTATGTCAGTTTGTACTCTTAAAAGTTTTGTAAATAAATTATATTCATTCATCCTGTTTGTTTATGTTTCTGTCCTTCTTAATCTATGCATGTTCTCTACTTCTTTGTTCACCATGGCTCAATTCTACTATGAATGGAAACACCAGATGTCTTGTCTCAACAACAAATTCAAGTTTGCATTTTTTTTCTCATGCTTCTGTGAGTTTGAATACATGCCTATCCGAACGTAGACAGATAGACATTCAGATATCAAAACTTAAGCTCTCAGGAAAAGAGCCAACAATATGTAGTCTCTTCCTACTTGTGAAGAGGCCGAGAAGCAGACAAATGTAGATAGAGAGAAATGATTAGATACAGCCCCCTTCACCATTCACCTTGCAAATCAACGAAGAAGTGAACAATAAGAACGGGTGGTTTCGAACATAGACGTCATGTAAATAAAGCTCTACTACCATGTCAGACAAAGACGGGAACCTATAAAAGAAACTGTTAGGTAACATTTACAAGGTTTTTCTTGGATGTTTTAGACCTGTATAAAACAACCAATCGAAAAGTCATAACGAATTGTAATGCTTTGGAAAAGTTCATAGGAAAGTATCCAAAATATTTAGCTGAAATATCACATCTCCTTTTCATTACACTTTCGAAAGTCTGTTGTCATGTTTGCTGAGTCCGACAAAAGTATTGAGAGCGAGAGAGAAAGGGACATTAATTTCTCTAATTCTGTCGTGTGGAACTTTTATATGTATAGAAATCTTCAAATCGATCATGAGTAGCAAGAATGTCACAAAATGCCAGTTTTTTGTGATTTGAATGTTAAAAACATGGTCAAAACTCTCCCAACAAATTGTTGTATATGCATATGCACCTGTGGGTCTTTTGTCATGTGGTAAGTCCCACAGAAGAAGAAGGGTTTTATTTTTCTTTCTTAAAAAAAAAAAGGTATTTGTGAGTGAGAAGCAATGCATACCAAAATTATTGCAAGCTGCTCATGTGGAAACTCCAAGCAACCAACAGTCACCCAACTAGTTAATGCTTCTTTCTCACACACAGGTAGAGGTTGCTCTAGTTTTATGTACATCTTTACCTATTTCTTTGCATTTATCTTAAGCCTCATTCTTTGACCAAAAATTAATAATCTCAAGCCTCATTCTATTATATATTATTGACTTTGCACAAGAAAGCCAATGGGGCAACCCTTGCACACCACAATGATGCCTTCTTGGTGCTGTCTTGAACATCCTTGCTCGGTTTGGTCCACCCATGTGGCTCTTGATGTTGTTTTATGAATTATAATCATGCTTGGTTGTAACATTCATTGTTAATTCTTATGTGGCATTCCCGCCCATCCAAGTCATCTGTGCATCCCCTACTACTTTAAAAATAAATCATCTTTACATAAACGAACGATAATGCTATCGTCAATCGTTGTTGACTCGCACAATTTTTTACTATTGAATACATAAAAACTCCCACAATACATCAGCAGTTAAAAATCAGCGATTAGCATAGCGCAGGCTCAACAAAGCAATGTGAAAAAAAGATTCTGATAACTAAACATGGCATTGCCATACATGATGCAAGTAAGTTATATAAAACTTTTGTTAAGTTAGATTGAACCCAAATGACTGTTTCTCATCTGAGACACGCCCTTAAGATTAGGGGGGCAATCATTGGATGCTTGTAGTTTGTTGCAATGGCAGGCTTATAGCATCAGGCATCAAACATATGACAGTGTGTAAATAAGGACAGAAAGCTCAGACTTCTTGTGCTCCCATTTTTATATCCCGAATTTCTAGGTCCTCCTCTGCAACTAACTCTCTCTTTTTTATCAACCCCCAGCCAAAATAGAAAAAAAAAAAGATAAAAAGGAAAAAAAAAAGAAGAAAAAAAAATCTCACATTGTTACCATTATTATCATCATTGTTACCAACTGTGATTATTGTATACTAAAATCAGGATTTGCACTCTCTGCAGTCTGCTCTGCACCAAACAAACATAAAGAATCTCCAACCTACTGGGCTAAACCAAAACCATTATCACCAAACATCCAAGATCAAAAATCAAAACAAACTAAAACCCATCTAAAATAAGTTTGTAAGATCCATTTTAGAGAAAAGAAGAGGCACAAATAAACTAATGGGTAGCATCAGCATGGCCTCTGTCCTCTGACGGCTTCATATTTTTTCTAATGAAGTTTAGCACTTATAAGCAGAGACTGAGCCATCTAATAAAAGATTATTTACACCATACATATGGGTCCATAGCCGCCTTCCTCCTCCTCCTCCATACCCATAATTACAGCAAAGCAAACAAAACAAAAAAGGTACCCAGTGTTTTAGTCCCCTCCCTCATAATGCTACCTTCTTCCTTTTACAAAAGAAACAGTTTTTTTTTTTTTTGTTTCTTAGGTTCGTTATTAAACATTTACACCATTAACAGACCTCTCTCTCTCTCTCTCTCTCTCAATTTTCTTGGATTCCTACTTTCTCCACTTTCCCGGAAAATATTTTACTTCTACTTCCCAGGAAACTATTCTTTATTAATTACCCTCTTCACTCTCTCCTCTCTCCACACCCCCATAATTTTCCTCTTCACTTTCTCTCTCTCTCTACCTTCCCAGAAAATTTCACTTCTTGATTGATTTTCTTACCCACTTCACTCTCTCTCCAATCCTCCAAGAACCCATCACTTGAATCCCAGTACTTGGTTTCTTGCTCAGCCACTCAACTCTCTCAGTGAGCTCCCAGAGCTCCAATGGCCGCCGAGAACGCACTAAAATCTCGAGAGGTCTCAGCCATGATCAAACAGGGCTTCATCTCCGATCAAACGCTCTCATTCTCACCATCAAGATCCATATCCAAGCTCTACTCTCCCACTTCCTCGCCCTCAAAGACCCTCTCTTCTCCTCCCCCACCACCTCAACTCGCCGGGTCGACTCAGTCTTTAACTCGCCCGAGTCAGTCCCAAACCCTCTACGAGATGATGTCCGATGAGCAACACCGAGACTCCAAGCTCGCAGACCGAAAAGTCCACGAAAAAGTCCACAAACTCCTCCAAAACGCACCGTTCCGAAACCCCAATTGGGGAGGGCTAGTATCCGGCGACGTGAGGCTCACTGTGGTAGCCAAGGACGGGTTCAGGGTCACCATGGACGTGCACAAGAGCGTTTTGGCCGCGAAAAGCCGGTTTTTCGCCGATAAGCTCCGAAAAGATCGCGGGGTTTCTCACTGTGTCGAGATTTCGGACTGCGACGATGTTGAGGTCTATGTGGAAACTGTGGTGTTGATGTATTGTGAAGATTTGAAGAGGAGGTTCATGGGCGAGGAGGTCTCTAGGGTTTTGGGCTTGCTAAAGGTATGTGCTTTGGCTTTTACTTTTGCCTTTTCTTGACTGTAGCAATCAGCATTTCTATTTCTGGTTTGTCTTATCCTGTGTTTGGTTGCTGAGAAAGTGTTTGGGTGAGGCAGAAATCCTTTGTTTGGTTATTGGTTTTCACTTTCGAGATAAATGGTATAAGTGTGAATACCAGGAAAAATTCTGAGGCTAGCCCAATTAATTGGAGAGTCAGTTTCGTTTACTGAACAAGTCTCTGTCTTTGGGCAATGTGTAAAAGCTACACGAAATTTGAAAATAAGCAAAACTAATTTTACCAAAATTACAGAAGTGCAAACGAAAAAACCAATAACGTTTTTAAAAACAAACAGTCCCATAATCCATTTTGCAGTGCAAAAGATTGAATTTTTGTTCTGTTTTTTTTTTTTTTTTTTTTTTTGTTGGGATTTTTTGCTGTCTGATTTTAGCTGGGTAGCTGTATTAATTTGGGTTCTTGAGGATATGTTTGGACTATAAGGGAGAGTAATATGTTTTTTGTTCATCGAGTTTGCGATGTTGAATATTTGTACAATTACTTTTGTGTTGTAGGTATCTGCTGCTATCATGTATGATGAGGGGATTGGCTCATGCTTGGAGTATTTGAAGGCTGTTCCATGGTCTGAGGAAGAAGAGGGGAAAGTTATATCTCAGCTCAATGAACTTCAGCTTCATGATGACTTGGCCAGTGAAGTTCTCCTAAGAGTGTCATCTGAACCATCCACTTCTGCAAGAGCCGATGAGATCTTTATGAGGCTGCTGACCGGTGTTCTTCAAGCAAAAGACGATAGGGCTCGTCGTGAAATGAAGACTCTCATCTCTCGGTTGCTTAGAGAAGATGCAGCCAGTGGCAGCAATAACAGGCTTGATGTCTCTAAAGAAACCCTTTACCATCTTTGCCATCGGTGTCTGAGTTCTCTTGTCCTGTGCCTATCTGAAGCCACGGGCATGGATGACAGTAGGAGGGATCGCGGGGTTTTAATGGCGGAGATAGCAAGAGAAGCTGATAACATGCAGTGGATTGTTGATATTCTGGTAGACAAGAAAATGGGTGATGAGTTTGTGAAATTGTGGGCTGATCAGAAGGAGCTCGCAGCCCTCCATTCGAAGATCCCAACCATGTACCGACACGAAATCAGTAGAATCACTGCTCAGCTATGCATTGCAATTGGGAGCAGACAATTGCTTGTGCCCAAAGAAACAAGATTTTCTTTGCTATCTACATGGCTAGAAGCTCTTTATGAAGACTTTGGATGGATGAGGAGGGCTTCTTTTAGATCTATTGATAAGAAACTGGTTGAAGAGGGGATAAGCCAAACCATTCTTACACTGCCCTTGCAGCAGCAACAGGGTATCTTGCTCAATTGGTTTGATAGATTTCTAAACAAGGGCGACGACTGTCCAAACATTCAGAAGGCATTTGAGGTCTGGTGGAGACGAGCTTTTATTAAACATGTATCGGAGCAGGAAAATACCCAGTTGCAAATAACTGTGTGTGATTATCCAAGCTGAACCAAGTTCACAAAAGCAACATTTCTTTAGTTTTCTGGATCAGTCTCTGTATATTCTCCTCCTGCTTTAATCAATCCTTCTGGAGTGGCGCTATTGCCATATCTTATTCTACTCTACCATCACTTTCTAATAAGTTTTTTAATTACAATTAATCCTTGCATAAAATTACTTCAGAGAACATCTTTTAGAAAAAGAGCTGGTGACATAAAAGAATGAATGGAAAAGAGCACTGTCGAAGCAAGAAAAATCATAACGAACCAACCTACATTCAGGTTTCCTCTTTGAGCTCCATTTTGGTTTTGCCAAAGACTACTGGGACGAGAGATCTCGTCCAAAGTGCTTACATGCTGCTGTTATGTATGTTTAAGTAGCAATCGAGACCACCATGATGAGACGACTTCCGAAACATATTTTTTAGGTTTCTCAACATTCACTCTATCAAAGTTACATGATGCCAATTTTGAAGCTCAAAACTATCAAAAGTATATACAAGTATACTGTACAGAGTATAATGTTAAATTGGGAAAACTACTTGTCTTTGCACAAATCTTGTAGGCAAGCTAAAGCCGCAATGAATCTGACAAGTTTACATAAGATGACTAGAAATCTGACATGTACCATGTCCCCCATATTCATTCAACATTCTCAGTTCACCTGGCAGAGCACCGAAGATTGGATTGCTACCACGCCCCCCATCTTCATTTGACATTCTGCACTAGTCTTCCAGGACCATCACAATGCTTCAGTCAATTCTCATATAGAAACACGAAGGCAACATATGCATTTGCTTTGGTGAAATGAGGTGATTTACAACTATTTTTTGTTCCGCTCAAGTTAGACTTGGGTGTGGCCCATAATGCAGTTCCACGTCTGAATTTGGTCCCAAATATGTGGGCTGCCTCAAATCAGAAGAAACTCTGCTCATGGAAAAAAAAAAAATTTGGTTAAAGCTTCTGGGAGGTTCACTTAAGAAAGTCGGCATCAACAGGCAGTCAGTGCATCAAAACCAAGAAAAAGAAAATATTGATACGCTTTGGGAGTAATACTGAAGGCAGATATTTTATGCCATTCTCAAATATCCATGAATGTCTCTTGTTATATATAGAAGTAGAAGGAAACAGACAACCTGCTATCACATATACCACCTGTAGGATGGATGGTCTAAAGAAAACTAAAAGCAGATGATTCATTAATAGATATTCTAAGACAGGATGGAGTTGATCCATTTAATTTTAACAAATAGTCAGCTTGACAGCATGCCGACTGCACATTTGATATGGTAAAACCAGGAGACTGGGCAAGTACAGAATTAACTTCTCCAGGAGATATGCAGAAGTTGTAACAACCAGAGTTGATCGAAAAATAAGGTGAAATATATTTTGATAAGTTATTAAGTTCTGGAAGGTTAGTACAGCATTACCTCCCAAATATTCATATTATGAGGACATATTATATTCCACACTTCCCTATCACTTCCAAATCTAAATTACTGAAAAATCTGGGGCATACATGTGCAACATAAGAAAATATAAAGATCCAGACTTTAAAACTCATGTATAAATATAACATTCTCACCTTTGTCTAACTTTAAATATTCCAGTGCCTATCTGCATTGGTATACCCATGATTATGCTTTCACTTACTCCTTCAACCTTGTCAACTCTCCCATTTACGCATGCATTAAATAGAATATCATCTGTCCGTTCAAATGAAGCCATCATCAAAACACTTTTGTCCATCTTCTGAACACCGAATCTTGTGATTCCAAGAACTTCACCCTGTCATGCAAAATAATTAACACATGAATATACATCCTCACCACATTTGCATATCTCTAATATATTAAGTGTATTCCAATTTTTCTTTTTAGCTTTCCAGTCAAAAGATTCAGTATCAACGGAAACTACTCACCCGATACGTCATCACATCCGCTAAAAAAATCATATGGCGATCATCTATGTTCATTCCATGCGATTTCATAGTATGCTTTATCTCCTCAATGATACAAACTCTCGCAGCTTCAATTCCAAGTGTCCGCTGCACTTCCATAACATCATTACTTGTGGTTTTACAACCATCAACTCCTTCAGTGCCCATTACCGACAGAAGACCCGTGCTAAAAAGTTGGCACAAGAGATATTAAGATTAAAGAAACAACAGCTGGCTTTTAGAATCTCACTTTTTTTTGTCAAGTAAATAACAGCTAGCACTTAAAGTATCAATATGATCAAAAATACCAGAAGCACATTAATTCAAAACTGCTCACGCCTGTTGTTATATTGCATAGCGCATAATCCACTTAGTTTTCTTGCTTTCTGTCATGCCAGCGATGAAACTACCATGTTCTTTGAGGGCACCTCTCATCATAGGAAATATACTAATACTTTTAATAAGATACTTGCGTCGTCACAACATATGAAGCAAGACAGGAAAGGGAAAAAGAAATTCAAAGGATTAAAGATAAGGAAGCAATAATGTTAGCATATGTACAACCCTCTCGTTTCCCTCTTCCACATCATTTTTGGATATTTCTCATCTATTATGTTTGCCTTCATTCAGGATAATGATAATCTTTTCTTTGCTAAGCAACGGGGTATTTTTCTGTCAAATCTTATTACAGACTTTTGCTCCTCAATGAAGCTGACAATATATTCCAGCAACATGATTTGATCTAGAAATCTAAGGCCCCTCCTAAAGTGAAAGTTTTTGCTTAGATTATGGCTCATGGGAAGGCTAATACGTGTGACATGCTTCAAAGAAGAAGACCCTTTTCCTGTCTTAGCCCTCAATTGTGCATTCTTTACAAGAACTGCTTAGAATCGACTGACCACAGTGCCCGGTGACTTTGAACCTATGGTTTCGATTGTTTAGGGAGTTCGGAGTCAGTTGGGTCATGCCCAAGGGCTGCCAGTCTTTCTTGTCCGAGAAGCACAGAATCCCCGGGAACAGGAAGAAAGCCAATGTTTTACGGGGCTGTAGTGTATTGGCTGTTCTTTGGGTGGTTTGGTTATAACGAAACAGATTAATTTTTTAGGACCAAGCAGGTCGTGAAACAGAGGAATTATGGGATAAAGTTGGACTATGTTCTTCACTATGGACCTCGACTTCTTCAGTCTTTAGAGATATGTCCTTTAGGGTTATTTGGCTGGATTGGAAAGCAGCCATTTCCTAGCTACAAGTTGTGTGTGCTACTGGGGTTCTTTTGCTCGTAGCTTAGGGTTTGTTCAGTCTAGTTGCTCTTTCTTTGTATCTGTTTCTTTGTGGCCACTTTGGCATTTCTGTATTTTATTGTTTATTGCAATAAAATTTGTTTCCTTTTAAAAAAAAAAAAACAATCTTTTCTTGGTAAGGCAGCTTCACTAATGAAAACTAGAAACTTTCTTTCATGGGGAAAACACATGACTAGGGTCTGAAATATGTCACGTTTGGCTCCTATGCTTCATTGGTTGTTTGATCTTCCTTCTTTTCCAGAACAGAAGTTGAAGACAAGTACATAGAGAGATTCCTGTTTGGAGCTCTCTTACTTGGAATGTTGATCATTATTAAAAGGTGAAGTTACTGAAGCACAGGCCAAACCAACCTAGGTAGTGTTCTCTCTGGAAGTGATTTTGTGATAAATAAATTTGTTTACGAAGTTCAGCAGCCAAAAATTGACATGGCAACATGAATAAACCACGCAATTTGGAAAAGACAACTAACTAAATGTGCAACAAGAAGTATGCTGAATGACGCCAATAGAAAGATAAATGAATCACCAACTTGCATGAGACCTAAAATAAAACATGGGGAACAAACATATGCCAACACAATACTTTAAAGAGGTGTAACATGAAGCCGGTTCAAAAGCTAGTAAAACTAGCAAAATAAATTTCAGAACAAACTCACCCTTCTGCAAACAACTTGTACTCCTTTTCTTCTCTTTTATCACCATCAGCACATGTAACTTCAAGATCCTTTTTATTCTTTTTAACTTCTTTTGCATCAATGACAACACGTTGAACAGTGCTTATACCCTGTTATTGAAAGAATGTAATGAATCACATCTGCACCAAACATTCTAAGCATGGCAAACTGAAACAAGAGAAAGAAAAAAAAAAAGCAGTGTCATCCATAAAAAGCAATATTCAGGAAAAAGAAATTCAAGAAGCCTCACCCTTACTATAACTTTTGGGAGCACACTTTTTAAATAGTAGAGGTTAAAATGGAGTCTACTTCTATCAGCCTCCTGAGGAAGAATTTCCAATTTTCTGATATCCAAAACCTTAACATGCTGCATAGTAGATGTGACCATGAGATATTAAGAAGTTAAGAACATAAAAAAAATTAGAAAACTAACATGTATTCTCACCTCTTGCTTCAGTTTGATTCTCGGAGTTCGTAAAATTGATTCTTTTACGACATTAGCATCTATAGACAAGTGTGCATCTTGAATCATGACCATATCAAGAGTGATGACTATGGATGCCGATCTTGAAGTCATTACAATTTTTATACTCTTAGAGACCTTCATAATAATATCCAAATTTGTAAGTAAGATCATGCATGGAGTTGGAGAGGAGACAGCACTATGCAAGTCAACAGAAACAATAAATTTGAGAAATATCAAATTAGTTGTTCAATAGTTTTAGATCCATATGAGTCCAACAAACCATTATACCTGAAATAACATAAACTACAACCAGAACATCAATCTTTACCTTAAAACATCCCGAAACATATCAAACCACTTGTTTGACTTTCTAACAAAGTAGTTGCTGAACAATCCAAGTCACAGTTAAGAAAACCATTAACCTAGCAATCCAAAGACGTAGAGAAAGAGAAACGCCAATTTGCATTGTTAACTTTTCACTTTCAGTTGAAAACTTGAAGCACATCAATACATGAAGCAAACAAAAATATAAGTTAAATTCACAGCATCTCTAACAAATTAGTTACATACATACCTGCCCAAGCATTGTTTTCTCAATCCGACCTGCCACCACCCGTGCAAATTTCGCATTATTATTATGCTCAAGTATTGCAGTAACAATGGGTGTACTGAT